TTGAGCCATTGACCACTACCCTCTAGATGTGATCACCTAACTAATTTCTCATCCACTGAACATCCACCCATCAAATCAATACCTCACCATTATAGAGAAAAGGATTTTGGAGGGTGACCATGTCAAAAGCCTTAAAGGATAAGTGAAAAGGGTTCAAAGTAAAGGAATAAGAAGCCCTAGCTCACCACTCAATGGTATCTCGGTCTCCCAAGATGCCCTGGATCTCCTCCCTGCACCGTTGCTGGTACTCTGGATGTAACGACAGGCAGTACAAGAGCCAGGAGATCCCGCTGGCCGTGGTATCGTGACCCGCAAACATGAACGTGTCCACCTCAGCACGCAGGTCCTCATCAGATAGACCAACTCCATTTGCATCCTAACAAAGAGGAGGGCATATCATTCATAAATGCACGTTAATTGGACTTGCTTCTTTGGGTATGAAAATAACCCTGAATGCTGATGAAGAAGGGCCAAATTTGGTGCCTCTTGTATCTTCCTGTACATCAGGAAGTAAGTCAGTAGAAAATACATCCAATATGTGTCAGAACAGTCAGACCTGCTGATTGCCGACTCTGCAGTCAACAGAGTTACAGAGTTGGGCTTTGGTGGGATATCAGTTCCCAGCCCTTCAGAAGGATACCCTATTTGATCGCCTACCAAGAGTCCCTGTTACATTTTTCAGTAGTTTGCTCCGGATGACTTTTGTTTCAGATTGAGACACAAAAGAAAGCAGCGGCTCCAGAAGAACAGAGTAAGCACAGCGTGTATGTCCTTCTTGAACACCAAAATGGAAACTTCTATCCAGAGTATCTTCCGATGTGTGTGAAAGTAAAACTAAAGAAGGTAAGAAACAAAATCTCCTGAGAGGACTACAGCCAAGTTGGCCCCCTTGTAACCTTTCCAAAGATCTCATTCTTCTTTGGTTTCTGACAGCTCACTTATTTTAAACTATTAATGTGCTCAATAAAAATGAACAAGGAAGATGAAAGTCTGCTCAAGCTATTTATGTTCAGCCACTGCATCTCACAAATTTGTATTTCCTTCCCTTTCAATCCACCTTTCCCTGAACTAGGAAATCTGCAGTGGGGAAGCTGTTGCCAGCAACTCCAGCCAGGGGTGATGAGCTCCCTGCTGATGCATCCTCAGTGCCACGCAGGTATGTTCTTTGGTATTTGATATGATTATTTCAAACATTCACCTTGGTACAAAGAAGAATATCCAGAAAATCCATGTGTGTCTTCTTCTGGATTTTGTCAAGTTCCTTCTCACTGGAGAGCAACATCTTTCTTTCTCTTATTACCTTATCTGCATAGAAGAATGACCGGTTAGATGCATCCTGCCCCTCCAGAGACATCATGTACTTGTCCACTCGATCAGCACCTTGGACTCTGTTTAATGTGTAACCCTCTGACCAGTGCATGCTGCAACCCACCTCTGAGCTGCTCTGGATGCAAGAGGGGGAGAGGTTCAGCTGGGAGGCAGGGCTGGGGAGAGAGGGGAGAAATACCTGTGTGGGTGTGGGCCAGCTTGCAGGCATCGTGAAACTCACGGCCTTTGCGAGTCCAGTCGTAGAAGATATCCTTGTAAGAAAATGTCTGGACTCTATTGCTCACGAGGTAGCTCAGGTCATAAACGGCTCTGATATAATAGTCTGAGTTGCTGTAAGGAGACCAAGGTTAAAGCTGGTGTTAGCAACATGAGTGGGGAAATAGGAGGACTTGCTTTCCCAGAATTTGAAAGTTCAGGCACAGACCTCTGAGTCTGACAGTCGGTATTATAACTGAAGGCACATTTCATGATGCTGTCTAGCGTCATCAAGCTGACGTCTTGAAAGAGCTCCACTGACTTCATCTCTGAATTCTTCTTTTCCCATTTATCCTAGTGGTGGAGACAGGGGTAAGGAGGGACAGACTACCATCTATGATCAGGTCATATTTTCCCATCCCTCTTCCCAGATTCACACTTCTAATTACTTTCTTCTCTGCAAGTAGAGGCCCTAGTTCATTATATATTCTGTGAATCTAACCAAACTCTTCTATGCATTTCTTTTTCCAGGCTTACCATTACTGGGATAGGAAAGGATGTTCTAGCAGTGGTTGATTTGATTGGAAAGCAGACGAAAGAGAGAATAAAAGTGGAATGGCCAGAGGAAGGTGAGGGGAGCAATTTCAGAACTTCAAAACTACCCAAAAAGTTCAATGAAACTCTAGGACCCACCTAAGTCCAGTCTCTTTCTCTCAGTCATTCCCAGACCTGATTCTTTTTGCCCGTGCACAGCTGAAAGGTAGAAGTAGCAGAACTGGTGATTCTTACCAGCATCACTTTGACTGAGTCTGACATCAGGGCCACATAAGATTTCAGCACGCTGTAATAAAAGGCTGGGGTGAGCAGCTTCCGATGCTGGAACCATTTGGTTCCATGCAAGACCAACAGCCCCTGCCCTGGAGACACAAACAGCAAAGGCGCAATCAGCTCCTCCAGATTCCGATCACAGCTCTGACAGCCTTGCTACTGCTTTTGGCCAAGGACAGGCTAACGTGCAGGGTCTGGTAGGGGAAGTGGTGGTGGTGGGGCCTTTTCTCCAGTCTTTCTGAGGCCGTTCACAGCAGTGCTCTTTGGATGGAGAAGAAGCATACCCACATGTCCTTCACTGCAATCAGCTGCGCACACCTAATCTACTCTGAAACTAAACCCATGATGGCTGGACTTTTGGGTTTTTCTGCCTTAAATGAAATACTTGGGTGCCTTTTGCAGCACACACTTACAGTTGCTAGCAGGACCCTGGAGGACTACCTCAAAGCTGTGTGCAAGCCATGCACCCTCCTGCCCTCGGTGTGTCTCACCCCAGCTACCCATGGTAGCATTCAGTCCCTGAGCAAATTAGAGGTTGCTTTGTGAAGGCCAGGGTGCGTGATCCAAGGTGAAGCCACCTAATGCACTCCATGCCGAGGTGGGCACCACCAGTACTAATGCTTACACTCAAACCAACCCTCCCATTTGCAAGCTCTGGTTTTAGAATGGAAGAAAGCAAAATAAAGGAAGGCAAGAGAGAAGACGCTGAAATGTGCAATACGGCTGAAAGGGGTAATGGAAGACAACGACTTACCGATCCAGGGAACTACAAATTTGTAGGGTACCTCGGACTTGCGGTCTGTAAAACAAAATAGATACCAGAACAGTATGAATGGCTAATGAATTCAATATAACAAAAAAAAAATTGGGGATAAATTGACAGTAGAGTTTATCCTCTAAATCACAATGTAGAATTAGTCTCACTTCAAAATGTAAAATACTCTACCACTAAAGCTAGAGTTTAAAAGTAGTCTTCTACAAATATGACCTCAGTGGACTTGAGGAAACCTGAGAAAGGCATAAAGAAAAGTGTGTGTGGAAAAGAAATGGCCATGGCAGATCTCAAAATTGAGAATAATGGATGGGAGTTACTGGAGATGCCCATGTATGTGTCACTCATAAGCATGATGCTCCACAGAAAGGAGCAGAGGAGAAGACATAAGATGTCTTCTGAGAGCCATTGCCATGCCAGCTCATCCATAATACTGGGTTTACTGGGAGGCACAGATATTGTGGTGATAGGTGCCATAGAAGACAATAAGATCAATGATAATGGAGACAGTGAACTGGGAGGAACAGGCATGTGGTCACTGTTTTGCATGAGAATACAAATTGCTCCATTAAACCTGGGGTGGGCTGGGAGTTTGCTAAGTGGAGCAAAAGAGAAATTGCAACAACTGTGAAAGAAGCAGGCAGAGAGGATGACTCCAGGCAAGTTTCTCACGTAGGGAAGTGTCAAGGACATGATTTCCCAAAACCCGATGTAGAGACTTACCTGTTTGGCCAAGTATGGTTTTGGCATATTCAGGATGGTGGATTACTAAAGAAGGCAGGACTGGTCCAAGCCATCTGGGAAAGGCATAGGGGTATTCTTCTGCCCATGACATAATCTGATGTAACATTTTATCGCCAGTTATCTGCAATGAGAGTTAAGCAGGGACTGAATTCAGGTAGAAAGAAAGGGATGCGCCAGGGAAAGCAGAAGTTAAACTTGCCCTCTCATGGAAAACACATGTAAGACATCCTCTCCTGGGAAATGGAGAGTGGGTGGACTTGCCACAGGCAGACTTTCCACACTGCAGGTGGAGGAGATGCTGGGCATGGCAAAGGGACCGTGTACAGGTGGCAAAGCTGCCTGAGCTGCCACATCCCCGCAGCACAAGGCAGCTCCATGGAGAGTCCCTAGCTGGGCTACAACTGCAGTCGAGCCGTGTTAGGACAGCCTGGGCTTGGAGCGACTTGGTGTCACACCTGGGAGCTACAGCTGGCGTGGCCAATGTCAGGATGCTCGGTGAACAGACCAGGAGGACCAAGGCTGTTACACACCTGTTCTTTAAATTCAGCAGTGCAAGGTGAGCATGCAATGTGAAAACAAAGATATCTTCACTATAGAAGGATGAAAATGGCTGCAATAAAATGCCCTGCTTTTGTGGCGATGTCTTCTTAAGTAGCTGTAGGGGGAGAGACCTACTGGTAGAAGGTTTGACACAGAAGAGAGACATTTTCTGGTTGCTTATATTTAAATAATTTCATGAAAGTCCCAGAAGTCACCTAACTCCATGTTTAAGCACACGATCGAAAGCAACATGGCTGTGTTTTTTACCAAATAACACACATCTCGTATCCAGACACCCTTTCTGCCTGCCCTGCAGATGTCTTGGCACTCCCTGTGCAGAGGTCCTCTCCTGTATGAAGGGACACAAGCAGGGGACATGCACACCCACCCAGTGCTTCCTCTCATCCTGGCTGATACCTTGCACGGTTCCTGGTGCAAACCCACCCTGACTGAGCCCAGCTCCCTCCTTACCAAGTGATTGTGGCCATAGAGCCAGTGTTTTGGGGGTCCAGGGAACGTCTCCAGAGCTTTGATGAGTTTCTTCCTCTTCTGGTAGAAGTGGACCACCTTCAGCAGCACGAAGATTACACCAAGCACCACAGACAGCTGCAGAACGACCACAGAAGGTCTGGCTATGTTGTCCAGCAGAGATGCCATGCTGACCCTGCGTTCGCGATGCCTGACACTGCCTTCTCCTGCCTGCTCCTCTTCTGCTCCTCTCAAGCCTGTGCCTGATGGGGAGATAGGGGCAGGCAAAAATCCTCTCCCTCCTGCTCTGCTGGACCTGAGCCTAGTGAAGCGCTGCTGGCAGAAATTTATAGCAGCAGAAACATCACTGTAAACAATGAGTCAGTTTGGCCGGCAGCCTGGTTGCCTGCTGCTCCCACTCACCCTTTGACCCGCTTCCAGCAACCTGTGGATGGAGGCAGCTTGTTAACAAACAACCTGTACGTATCTCCTGTTTTCTTTGAAGTCCTATGCACCCCAGCAGTGAGTGAAAGCACTCGCAGTCATCCGTGCCTAGGTGGACGAAGCCATAGGAGGGAGGAGGTGAGAGGTAGCCAGGCTTGGGTTGTAGCTGAGCTCCGTGCTGCCCTCAGCCAATTCAGGTCTGGAAGGTGTTCATCTCCCTGTGTGAAGTGAGGGACAAAAGGGCCACCTCTGCTCAACACATGGACTGGATGGATCCAGCTGCCTTCAGCTGCAAAAGCAGCGCTCTGAGTGACTGCAGCATCACACAGCAACGCCGGACTATAGTCGAGAAAACAGATATAACCTAATCAACACACAAGGGACCGTGGCTCTGTTCTCCAAGAGATTCTGCCATAGACAAGCCAGGAGACAAAACCGCTGCCCAGAAGAATTACCACGGTCAATTGCTAAGTCAATTCTGCCATAGACAAGCCAGGAGACAAAACTGCTGCCCAGAAGAATTACCACGGTCAATAGCTAAGTCATGGAGAGGGAGAGCAGCAGAGCAATAAAATGAGCTGTAGCAAGATTGAGGGCATGTCTAGTCTGGTAGGGAGGCATGATGGTAAGGTCATGTTCTCTCTACAGTTCTGGTGAGTCCTCCTTCCCCTGTCTACATGGCATCTCACCATCCTCCAAAAAAGTCTCCACATCACCACATTTACCTCTCCAATGCAGTGCTTGGTTGGGCGCCAGGTAGGACCCTTTCTAGCAATCCCTGAGCAGATCCTGCTGGTTACCTGGGCTCACATCCCATAGGTGCAGAAGCCTGGAATAACTTGGAGGGAATTGCAGGGCTGGTGGAGGACTTGGGCTGGAAACTGCCGCATGGGCAGTTTTACTTCACACCTGTGCAGATTCCCTTGCCGAAATGCACAACCTAATTCAGCATGGCTTTTTATTCTCTTCACAGCGAGGCAAACTAGTGCACGGAGTAGGAAGACTCAACCTGACCCTCTGTCCAGCACAGGCACTGCAATATTACCTGCGGGTCCTTGCAAGAGAGAGGATTTGTCCTCCCTGCCACACAGCTGGAGGATGCTCAGTGCCCTACAAACACCGAACCTCGCAGCTGAACAGTTCACAGAAGGACCCTGCGGGTTCAGGTGGCTCCACATTCATGTCCCTTGGAGGGATGTTTACCTGTGCATCCCACTGCTTCTCTCTCCTCTTGGGAGCTCAGCTGTGGATTTTCTGGGTGAACATCGATTCCCCTGCTGCCATTAGCAACTGTGGTATGAGGTCTCTGTCGTGCACATCATCACCTAGTTCTCAGGTGGTGATAAGATATTTTGCAAATGCTTGGGCATGATGTGTTCTAAGTAGCAGTTTCTAACAGTGGCCTCCAGCTCCAGCAGTGACGATGTTTTCAGAGCTCCTTGTTCACTTCTGGGTTTGCATCCTCAAGTTGGCAGCCTGGACATTTCCACATAAAATGGGATGAGAATGTTGACATTGAGACACCTGCCATTGTGGGTACCCAGGGTACCAAAGGCACTGGGCATGTCAGCTAGCTAACAGCCAGCTCCTACCACGTGTGTCCAGATGCCTACTAAAGTTTGGACTGAAGAGGGGCTCTGTCCATTGCTTCTGCATGCCGGTAGCAGAAGACTGCTCTAGAAACACACTTTTCTCTTGAAAGACATCAACTCTATGATCTACTGTTAGTCTGTTCCTGGGCTGAAAATACCCATTTGCTAGTCTGCCAAATTGTCTATAACACTTAAGTTTCTTCAGTATTTCTCTAGAAATAGTGATTGTGTAAGTTTCTCAGTTGGGATAAGGTGATCCAGTCAACCCTACAGCTGTCTGTGTGGCACTGGGCTTTTGTTAGCATGGCGGGAAGATGCATTGGAAAGAGCCAATGACAACAGCTGAAGATCTCATATCTCCCCAGATGTGGGTGCTTTGGCTGCTTGAGCCCTGTCCTAGCACATTTCTTCAGCTCCCCAGTGTGACTGTCCCCTGAACTGGACCCCTGTAACTTACATTAAGATGGTGTCTCTGGCTCTTCAGATTGGGAAGAAGAGGAAGGAGGAGTTATATTCTCCAACTGGCATTTGTCATCCTGCTTTCTCCCCATCAGTTGCTGACATGCTGCCTCCTTTGGGCCAGAGCCTGGTAAGTCATTACAGCCACACCCATCAACAATTTAAAAATTCAAAGAACACACCAAGACTCCTTGTGTTGCCTTGGAGAACATCCCTGGCAGGCACTGAACCGCGTTAGCTTTTCACACACTTGGCCATCTTCATGAACCTAAGTGTATCTCATTATGCTGAGCCAGATGGATCTGTGCAAAAGTTCAGAGAGCTAAAGGTTGTTCTTTATGAGGCAGAAGGCTGCAGTCTGTCAGGTTAGACATTGCTTAGGGAAGGCATTGGCTGTAGCCAGAGCAAGAGGGACCTGATCTGCCATGATAACTTCACACTCCTGAGCAGGAGCACCTGACTCCAGGGGCTTAACAGCCATGGAAGGTGTAGGAGACATATCTAGTACCTCTAGCTCTTCCTATGATCCTCCACTTGTCCTGCAGCACTGTGATTAATGGGCTTCCCATCAGGAGAGGAGCTCGTGCAGGCTGGTTGGCCGGCTGGCTGGGAAGTGTTTGGGTTGCAGTTGATCGGGAAGCTCCTGCTGATGCTTCTTCCCTATCTGAGGAGGAGGAGAAGGATGAACATGCAGCACAAGGAGCCACTTTTGGGCTGCCTGAGCCAGATCAATGGCTCTGCAAGCTGCCTTCAAAATGTGGGGCTGACCTAAACACACTGGGCAGGTGAAGGATGTGAGGAGAGAAATGTTACCCTGCACTGTCTCTTGTTATCAGATGAGGTCACAGTGAGAGTTCAAACAGGTCTGCCATGATGCTTGAGATTAACCTTGAAGTTAGGTTGAGGTGGTGTATGCTACAAGGACCCCATTCCCTATCTCCAGTGCGTCATGGACTCTGTCCCAAAGCTGTCCCTCCTCCAGGTTTTTTTTCCCATCAACCAGCTCTAAAATGCCCTTTAGGCTCTTTCAGAGACCCTTCTCTAGGAAATAATACCTAAACAACTAGCCTCTTCTCTGGCCTTGCCCGTGACTATGGGTGGGAGGCAGGAGAAGGGGAGTTCCATGGGACTGAAGACATTGGAAGGTGGGATTGCTACTGTGAGTCCCTCGTGTGAAGACCTGCAGAACACTCATAAATGCAGCAATGTCCTGTAGTTGGGTGCCTTCCAAGGTCCGTACAAGGAAAATAGGCAGTGTTGGGGGTTGAGCTTTTGGTCAGTGTTAGTGGAGTTGTTTTGGCGTGTCCCGTGGCACCTGCCCAATTACTAGACTGTCTGATCTGGATCCGGACAGCACCTTTCAGCAGTGACCTACAAAATAACTCAGAAATCCCCCAAGACCCACAGGTGGAGAAGCCAGGCCGGAGTCGCTGACACAGCCGCAGATGAAACTTTTATAACAACACAGAAATTCTCACTGTTGACAGAGTCCCCAGACAATGGGTTTGACCGTGGGTTACTGAGCAGGGTGGAATTTTACCCATCTGGCTCCCTGACAGTTATTTAATAACCAGTAACGACTGTTGAGCATGGAGTCAAGGGGACATGGGTTGTCCTGAAGGTCAAGTGAGATGTCAAGTGTTGAGCTGATGGGGAGGGAACGTAGGGGACAGAGTGGCTAAACCCACATTTATGGGGATTTGGAGCAAGAATCTAAGCTTGGCTGATAGCAAAACTGGGTGCCTAATCCAGGCTCCAACCTCTGCATTTTCTGTTTCACCGGTGGAGGGGAAAGAAACGTCTTTCTCAAGTATTTCAGAGATTTCATAGCAACAGAGGCCATGAACATTTTGTCTGACACTCTTTAGCACAACCTGGGGAAGATAACTCAGGGTTTTTTGCAGGAGGAGAAACCATGGAGGTTCAAAAGGGAGAATGAAGTGGCCTCAGAGCCACAAGTGGAGAAAAGTGAAAGGGGACAGCAGTGGTCTGGTCATCATAAGGGATTGGGACAAGGCCAGAAACAGTCTGCTCAGCACCAGAAGAACCTACAGCCCAGTTGTGCCCAGGTGTCCCAGCTGAAGTACAGAGCCTCCGAAAGAAGATCTCAACATGAAAAAGCAGCTGCAAGGATCTGCTGATAGCCACAGAGGTCTGGGGACATTGGCAGGGTGAACAGAGGCTTGGCTTGACCTTCTGGACATCTGAGGCTGGCAAAACTACGGTTGGGTGTTGAAGGACACTTTGAAGGTTGCCCTATGTTTGCAAAGAGCCTCTGAACGGTTGGCTCGGTGCTGTGGATCCCCACATGATGGCAGTGTATGCCGTGACAGGACAGGCCATAAGCGTAAAAAAAACCCCAGCGTTACACTGAAGAGTTCCCATCCCATACCACAACCATAGACACATCAGGCTGTGGAAGTTACTTTCAGGGTCTTGGGAATTTTTCCACACAATGTAGTTACCTAAACAGAAGAAGGAGAGGACCTTCCTCACTGATTTAACTCTTACTGTTGGCATTCATTGCAGAAGAGCTGGTTTACGGAGCAGGTGAAAATTAGGTGGCAAATGCCCCAGAGTGTGACCTTGCAGCAGCTGCTTTCCCCAATTGTCCCTGTGTTTATTCAGATAGGAAGAAGAGTCCAGGCCCACCTGTCCCTGTGTGTTCCTGCAGTGCTTAGTGCTGACAGATTA